TACTCGCGAAAGCATGCGAACGCATCGAACGGTTCCCGAACCGATCGACAGAAATGCCCTAGCGTATATAGGAACAGCTAGGCAAGATGCTATACGGAGAACAGGCACATATATACCTGCTTCGCCGCTCGAGCATAGCCGAGTTAATCTTTAATTATCTAGCGCATCGGCGTATATATCGCGTAGTTCGATCCTCCGCGAGCCGTATGCTCGATACGTATCGACGAGAACATAGCTTGAAATTCAGGCGCCGTCGCTATAGCCCTTAAGCTATTACATTCTAACTAATTCGTTACCGTGTTCGACCCGGTACTAATAACTACTAGTCGAGGGCGCACTTGCGGAGGGAGCGTTAACGCCGAGCTATACTTATACTACGTCTAGAGGAGGTCCGCAACACTCGGTAGCCCGCCGACATCGTCTGCGAAGATAACCGCTACGTCTGCGAGCGGCAACACTACTCTAGTAAGAAGGAGGTCCTAGATATTTGCGTATAGAGAGTCGGAAGAGTTAGCCTACTCGATTCGTTTCGTCTTAATCTTATAGTAGGTAGCCGGGATGCATCGTAGCGGCAGTCCCACGAAGGGGTTAACGTCGATAAATAGGAGTAGGTGCCGCGCCGAACTCGTGTCCGTATCGACGTAAATGCTAGCTAATGTCTCTATTCGCTTAGAGGCATTATTGCCCGGGAAGAACTGCCGCAGTACCGCTTTCTTTTCCTTATGCCGCACGAACAACGCGACGCCCGGGTGTTATATACGTAGGGCATTAAGGCACGTAATCAGCCGCTACATCCGGCCGGGGTCTACTACGGATAACTAATATGCCTCGACTAGAGCTATATAAGAACATCGTAATATTATTAAAAGAGACTAAGTCTTCCCTATACGTAGAAGTGCGCGCCCTCTTATATAGGCTTCTGCCTCGGAGAGCACCTAGCGAAGACGTTGCGCCGGCGGTTGGAATCCCTCCCCCGGGGTCTTAGCCGCGCGGGCAGAGGGCCTGGCGGCAATAGAGGCCGGCGGTCTAGAGTGCGGCGTATAGTCGTAATAGTACCCTACGCCCGTTAATGCGCATCTATTAAAGCCCCGGACAACTGCCTCCCTCGTAGCTATAGAAAGCAATACGTAGTAGATACTATAGGACGGCCGATATCGCTATATTAGTGCGCCGGAGCTTCCTGTCGCTATACTACTATAGGCAAGGCTTGCGGTCTCCCCCTCTATAGACTATTTAAGCTAACATAAAAGAGTTCTCTAACTAGGCATTTACGGCGCTAGCTATAATATAGGCCTTCTTACGACATCGTAGGACCGGCGGACATATAGGAGGGAGATAGAAGTAATAGCGGAGAGTTAGAGGCACTAAGGCAAAAGACAATTAATTTGGAACGTCCGACCGAGGCTATAACGCTTACCGAGCTATTCCTTTAAGCGACTTTAAACTAGAAAGCGAAGCATATCGACTATACGACAACAAGAGCCCTATATAACATTGCTTACCTACCGCGCGATCTCGTCCTTTACCGTATCTAGCAACCCTTACCCGCAGTTAGCGAGTGCTCTATAGCCCGCGATATCCCGCATATACTCTCTACTATCGTAACCGTACTATTAGACCGCGTCAGCGCTGCTTCGTAAGTTGTTATAGGCTGGACCTACTAGCGCGTTAGGGTCGCATTGCAGGCCGGTACTATTATAGTCGTGCAGAAAGCATTCGTTCGGGGACTATAAGCAAACCTATACGGGTTAGAACGTCGCCGGGTCGAATGCATCTAATAACTTGCCCCTTTCCGGTATCGCCCCACTAATCCTCGCGAGCAGTTGTATATAAAGTGGTCTGACAACAGATTAACCCCTCTGTAGTCGAACCAGCTCAACGGCATAACGCCCCGGCAAGTAAGGTTTTGCAGGCTACTAGGGACAGATCAGCCGCTACTTTAAGAAGATTTGTAACATAACCGCTTACGCCTAGAGAGAGCACGAATAGCCTTCTTGGATCTTTACAGATCTGATAGGGACGTGGAATACGGAGGTCGGTAAAGGCGCTACAATAGAGTGAGTTCGTCGGACCGCACCTGCGAGCATGTCGGACCTACTACAAACGTTTTCCTGCACATCTAGAGCCCGGCATTCTCCGCCAAAGGTGTCATTAGTGCACCACAGAATGCCAACGCCATTCCAGTCGCTATCGTGCATATACGAAGCGGAGTACACATGGGGGATCAACTGTCCGCAGAACAGAAAGGAGATGCGTCTGGGAACCATCGCACGTCTTGGTCTCGGCTGCCCGAGTCACGGACTGTGGCAGCCTTTTATACTCGGATGTATCTCCATCCGCACGTCGTGCCTCTCGTGTTGACCCCGGGGTCATAATCATGGCATCGTACTAGTAGTACTCGACGGAGACCCCTGGGGAATGGAGTAAAGTGCGAGCATATATAGGAAGTGGACGTTCTTGCTCTGGCCCGACTTTTACTCCAACGGACCAACCGTTGTCTCTATCGCTCCTTAGCATTAGCGGTGTGAAGCCCCTTTCGGATAAAGAATACCCGATAGGGTCTCCCTCGCGCAGCGCCGCTACATAATTCCGTGAAACCAATCGCCCCTCTATAGACAGAACTAAATATACAGATAAGGCATATTATAGGCTCTTGCAGTCCTCGCAGGCAAGAGCACTAATATATTATATAATGCTAGATATAGCTAATAAGCGGCCGCTTTTACATTTGCTTCAAACGCCAGACCTACGTTTCCCGCTAGATTGTATTTACAGACCAAGTACGCACTATAGACCCCGGTTCCGATAAGAGACTAACATTCTGTAATAGCGCAGCCGACGTCGGTAGTGTCCCGCTATACTAGCTGCGTGAAGTGCCCTATGCCTACAGAGAAGCCCCCCTTCTTATAGTTATACTCGACCTCTTCGCCGGCCTAGGCATTAACCGCGAGGGCGGTATGCACGAAACTAGCAGCTATATTCTCTCCGTATAGACCTCTACTATGCCCCTAGATACATCTTGCTGCCCAGCCCTAAGCGAAATAGGCGAGAGTGCTGTTCCACGCTACCGGGCGCGTAGCATGCCGAGCGCGGTAGTAGTTCGTACTATTAAGAACTTCCGACTCTAGCGATTTATTATACAAACCAGGTCGTAGAGTCCAGGTAGCGAGGGCTAACGTACGGGACGTAGAGGGCGACGCTATAAAGTGGTTTTCGGGCGATAGGCCCGACGCTGTCGCTAACCCGTTTCCGCTAGCGGAAGAGCATCGAATGGTGCTAGGTACTATAGTCGCCGTTATGTAGTATAGTATTGTTATAACGCTCGTTGCTAATATCCTAAAGTATTGCCGACGTTAAAGGTTCGTTTCTCGACGTGCGTAATGTTAGTCGTGCTAGTCCGCAACCTAAATAGCAACTATAGCTCTCTTATAATACGGAGGGGACGAGACCTAATATGCTTGCGACGTGCATCGAATCGACACGTAGACGTCCGGCAAATTAGAGGATTTTACCGTCTACGTCTAAGAGGCCTATAGCCGTACTCGCTCGCAGCGATCGTCGAATAGATCGTAAACCTCGTGTTAGACAGAAGGGGGAAACAGAAGTTCGGGCAAAAAGATCGTAGAGAAGCCTCGGGGTTAGAGAACAGAAGCGAACTCCGGGGTTGCAAAGGTGGGCAGGTTCTTCGTAGTATCGTGTTGCTCGACTTTGGGCATCTATATACATATATATAGTTACGATTTATGTTTGCACCGAACCGCTTAACAATTCCCTACTACTGTCGTCGGCTATATCTACTTCTCTCTCTTAGAAGATATTATGTATTACCTCTCGCGTATAGTTATTCTCTTCGTTGCTATTCTTATAGTCTCGGCTTCTAATATCGGCCTTGCAATCGGCTCTATCGGAGCAGAGGTCTAGTTCGACAGGCGATCGTCTACGGTTCTAGATCCAACCCGCTCCTTCGTAGCGAATATTACCTCGACGGCAACGCTTGCGACTTCGGCTAGGATTACCTTACTCTGTATCGTTATATCGACTAGTGCTCTAATAGTAGCGAGCTAGAAGCAAATCGTAGAGGTAAGTAGTTGGAATCTAACGTTCTACCCCGACACTCTATATACGTCGAAAGGCACAATCCTCGAGTTCTATATCGCTCGTCCCGACGTAGAACTATATCTGCTTAGCTCTAGTAATTTATCGAGGACCTTCGATTTTGTTCCGGTACCCGGCTAGAGCTATCGAGCGGCAATATACCAAGTTGTCGACAGCAATACATACGTGTTTTATAGTGTAGATACAGCTTGTAGTAGCACGTGCCCGTCGACTGGACTCGATCCTCCGCGAGCTAAGAGTGAATTCCTTCTAAACGTAGCGCAGAACGATAACGGGGCGGAGTCTAATACTAGCTACAATACTGCCTAGTATATACGTTCTAGACCTACTACGGTAGCATCGAGGACAGATGCTACGGCATCCGGACGAGCGTCGCTAGCGGGAACAGCTATGCCGAACACTAATACTTTAGCTCTACAATCTGCGCTACTTCTATCTACCTTGTCGCAAATAGGCGTTGCTGTCGAGCGGAAAGCGCTGTCCTCCTTACGCATATTAGTCCTGCTGCTTAGCTCTTACGCGGCGTGCATATAGATAGAATGTCGTGGGACTAAGGTCCGGTTATAGGGCGCGAGGAACTAACGATCGACGTCGAGATACGAATAGCGAACCTTTTGTAGTATAAGTGTAGCCTTATATAGGACAGGAGATAGAGCGATAGGTATCGCAAATACGTAGACCTTAGAGAGTCCGGCATTTATTCTAATATAGGTTAGTAGTACGGAAGTGCTCCGGGTAATAGTTCGTATCTACATACTTACAGACTTAGTAGTTAGCAATATAAATTGAATAAAGCCCTATACGAAAGGGATACTCCCTATGTCGCTATATACTCCAGCGTTAATGCGTCCTATGAACTCGATAATAATAATAATGCTTTATTACGCCCGGCCTAATCGCCTAAAGGGCTCGTTCTATATTACCTAAATACGAAGCATTCAATCATGTCCTAGACTCCTATAAGCCCTTCTGTTTATTCTACATCCATTTTTATATGCATCCTATTAGTATCGACTTACTGGGCGAGATCTCGTATTATGTTAGTTAGTTGCAAGTACTCTTGAAGACACTTCTCCAAGTGTTCACCGTCCTATCTTCAGCAGGTGAAGCTGGGCCCTGCTGTTAGTACGAGGGTGTATTGTTAGGTTAGTTCGGGTTAGTAGGGAGGGTTGGGTAGAGAGTCCGGCAGTTCTTGCTGTAGGACTCGTGTGGGCCACTGCATAGTACGCATTTTGGTATTTCCGCGTTGCATTCGCTGTGTCGATGTCCTGTTTGTGTGCATCTGGCGCACCTCTGGAGATTTTCACAGGAGTATGTTTTGTGGCCGATTTCCTGACATTTGTAGCACTGGACAGGTCCTTGGCGACGTTCGTAAACCCGCGTATATGCTGATTCTCCTGCGACATGGAAGTATTGCTCCTGTAGCAGTCGTACTGCATCGCTTCCCTTTGACAGATATACCGCCATTGACCCATATGCTTTTCCTGAGTTCTTCCTGCTTAGCCAGACAATCTTGGCAATTGTGACCTCGTTCTCTCTTTCCAACCTTTCTACTGCATCTGCGCGAAGGTCTCCTGTGTCGTTAAGGATAGCTGTTCGGTTGGCATTATCCACCTTGATTGGATAGAGTTGATCTTGGAGTACCCGAACTCCAGGAGTAGTAGCCTTCTGAGCTGCTTCTTTCACCCGGGCTAGCTCAGGCTCGTTCCTACATATCACACGAATGCGTGCAGTATTCCGCGGGTCTTTTGTTACTGCGACACACCGCCAGCCCTCTTGTCCGTCCGCTCTGCGCATCTCGTTCTCGATTGCTTTTCGGAAGACTGCTGGATCAGCCGCGCGCTTCTCCTCCTCTTCTACCCTTGAGGTGTCGATCGTACAGTAAAGTGTGTCAGATCGGGCTGACGCTGTTGTATTTGTCGATAAGCTCTGGATGTTGCTAGGCCGGGAGCTTGGCGGTGTACGGGCAATGTCGGCATACGATGTTCGGGGGCTCTGGCTCCCAGATAGGGCCTGCGTTACCTGCTGCTGCCATGTTGTCTGTTGTTCCTCCCAAGTCTTCTGCCTGTCCTCCCATTCTTTCTGTTGCTCCCGGAGAAGCCTTATCTCTGCCTGTAGCTCCGCTCTTTCCTTCTGATGCTCCGCTCTCTCCTTCTGACTCTCCTCCTTCATTTCTAGAATAAGGCTGTAGAGCCTATCTATTGTTGCCTCTTGCCTTTCATCGCTTACGCCTGCTACTGTCTTCGTTGTCTTGGCTGACTTCGTGGTTTTCCCGGGTGAGCTATCAATGGACAAGCCCCGGTGGAGTCTTTGGTAGTTAATCTCCGTTCGAGTGGCGCGTATAGTCCTTTTTCTAGCTGCTGTCTCCGTCGACGCGATGTCTGGCGGTAGAGTCGCGTCGTCTGCTCCCGCTACCATTGCAGCTTCACGCGAATTCGAGAGATCAGCGATGTGCCGTAGATCTGTTTCTGCTCGCGCCTTGTGATGTGTCCCCTCCTGTGAACTCTCGACGCAGAAGTCACGACACGAATGGCCATCCGGAACGGCGCGGTCCTTTCGCTGCTTTTCGTGACCTCGCAATCGCTGGCATAGCATTCACTCAGGAAGTCTTTGGGAAGTAATGTAATGACGTAATATCCGTAGTGTGCCCTTTAGGTACTTAGCGCCGGGCGGAATAAACTCCATCCATCTATCCATAGCATTCACTCCGCCGAAGCTAACTCAGTGTTCAGATGGCGAGGCTCGGGGTGTGGCGAGATGAATGATCCCGTCGCTATAACTTAAGGCATTCGCCTCCAGCGATGCGTTGGAGACCTGAGCACTCTATGACCACGATGCTGCCTCTCGGCGGCAGTTGTGGTGAGAAGGGCGGCCTGCGAGTTATGACAAGCTTTCGGATGGCGGAGCACATGCGTTGCCACGCCGCACAGGCATAGCGAGCAGAGAACCAGGATCAACTGATCGGGATCGGGACCGAGCCGCGCTAACGACGATAGCACATATAAGTTAACGAAATCCGAAGCGCGACTACTAGCGCAATACGATGCGAGCATAAGCGCGCGGAGGGTGTCGGTTACTACCGGCAATAGTGCGGCAGTTTAGATATAAGATAGCGTAGATTAAGCGCTACGTAGGGCTCGTACCTAAAACGGATAGTGTCTCGGCTTAACTTCGAGAGTACTATAACTACCGATATATCGCAGAGTGCGCCTATAATGCTCCTCGCCGTCTAGACTCTACGTATCGATTTCCCTTCTAAGATCCTATCGTATATACTCTCTATCTATATAGCTACGTAAATTTACGTACTATAAGGCTTTAGCGCGTAGGAGCGTAGCGACTTTCGCTTATCCTACTCCCCGCGTACTACGAGAACCTTATACTCCTCGAAAGACTCTTTAATTAAGGCGAGGCAAGGGACTTATAGCCGTATACTTAGGACATTACGTAGAGACTCTACGGGTTAATACTATAGGCTATTAGTACTACGAGACGTATAGATAAACGATACTATCCTACCTAGAAAATAATTTCTAATATAGGCTTGCTAAATCGGAGCTTATAGACGGCAGAACTAAGCTGCTAACTTCTAATCTACGTAGATATAGTAGGCGGATTCTAGTATTATTCTTATAAGTCGAAAAGTTAATCGCGAGCTACTAGAACAGAATAGCGACTATAGGCAGTTTCTACCTTATATCGTAATCCGTAGACGTAATATAAGATCTCTACGATCGTATCCTAGTAGACGTTCTTAGACGCAAAGAATAATAGATAGGATTCTTCTAGAGGGGTCTATTTGTCTCCTTCTATCGCTTATAAGATAAGCAATCTATTACTATATATAGTAGGAGGAAAATACGCGAGCCTACGCCTATATATTAAGTACGTAGGCGCTTAGAGCCCCTAGGGTCTTTCGTATAATAATCGAAGCGGCTAGAAGAAGTTAAATATCTTAGCTTTACTACTCTCCGAGCGTAGCTAATTCGATATATACTACGAGTACGCTTCTTCCTCGACTCGGTATCGTCGACCTATAGGCCTCCTATAGACGAAGAGTTAGACCTACTCTATATATTCGAGAGCTATATCTAGCTTTGTAAGTAGTACTATAAGAATAGATACGAGCGGAGACTTTTCTCGTACTACTCTATTAGGAACGCTCTCGCTTATAACCTAGAAGACGCTCTAGTCTTTCGAAATAGCCGCTTCGAGTTCTGCGAAATAGTATCCTAACCGACTAGAATCGTAGAGCTGCCTTCGATATTTATAGCTGCTCGAAAACTTTTATCTAGACGATAGTATATTATCCCTCCGTACTTAAACGCCTATCGCTAATAATCGCTAAGATCCCTTACGTATAGCCTACGTTAGAGCACTCGTATATAATATTATAATTCGGCTTCTAGTCCGTCGATTTTAACTCTATACTAGATAAGAGCCGAAAGATAGAGGTATTGCGTATAGGTATAAGGGCGAGTATATAACGAGCTTAGAATTACGATATAGAACTTTACGTACGACTCTTCGTAATAGCTACTTTACCGAACGTATATATCTCCTATACTAGACCCTAAAAGATATCCTATCTATATCTAGGCTACTACTATATTATTAATATCCTAAACTTGAAATCTTATATCCTAATTATTACTTATAACGTATATAGCAAATAGTGTCGCTAGCGAGGCCGTTCCTAGTCTCTATAGCTATAGAGTATTTATATAAGTAGAGACCTTCTTCGACTACTACTCTAAGGTTTATTAATCTACTTCTACGCTAGTTAACCGGCTATAACGACTATTAGACGCATTCCCGTTAGCTAAGGCCTTTATATATACTAAGAAAGGTTAGAGATAGTTTTAGTAAGTCTCTCGAGGCTGCTCTCGAACCTAGTATTTATTAGATCTAGAAGCTCTTTATTTAGTAAGGCTATACATACTATATAAGCTAGTCCTCGAACTGCTCTATTTTCGTACCGCACGTATAGCGATATTCCTTATATATTAGGTTTTCTCCTATAGCGTCTTTGTCGTACCTCTCGACCTACTACGTTAGCTACGATCTAGAATTAGTCTATATAAAAGCGAGATACTCGTAGTTCTAGTCGTTTTGCTACTACGAACTTTGCTCTATACTCTACGAGTCCGCTATAGCGATAGGCAATAATACGACTTGCTATTATAGTAGGTATTATTAGGACGGAGAGTAGTATATTCTACGAAGGGCAGATCGGGTTATACTTTAGAGCGCGGATTATATACTACGAGTCTAGTATATCGTATCGTAGACTAGCTACTTTTCTTAGTAGACTTCGAGCGCGCGGTAACTATACCTCGCTAGTACTATCGGTAGGCGCTAGGTAATAGGCGGCTACTAGCCTAGGCGGCAAATCGTACTACGTAGCTATATCTTAGAGAGTCGAAAATACTTATTACCTATAAGTAAACGCGCGCGCCTATAGAGAGTCGGACGTGCGGTTAGGCGCTAAGCGTAGTGCCGAGAAGACGATATAAGTTCTATATAGTCTACTAGATAGCTCGCTCTTATCTATCTCTAGCTACCTAGCTTCCGGTCTAATCTATAAGGAACATATCTTCTAAGAAACTAATCTCGCTAGGTATAGCTATAACCTTAATACCGAGCTATAAGTCGACCGCCGTAGAGGGGACTACTCCGCTTGCTAACCTAATCCCTACCGACTATACGCCTACGATAAAGTCTTCTATAGATCTATTATCGTATCGCCTTACTTCTTCTTATAGCGACCTCTAGATACTTTAGAATTTATATCGTCTAGCGATATATAGTAGAACGGAAAGAAAGGCTTAAGAGTCCGTACTTAACGTATTCTAGTCGAAGCTACTAAACTACTAACACTTTAAGGCGTAGTATATATAGCTATAAGAAAGCTATACTTATCTATCTACTTATTATATAAAGAAAGAACGCTATATCTAGGCGTTACGTCTATAGGTTGCGCAAAACGGCGCAGAGCGTAATATCTTTAGAGCTTTAGCTAAGATTCGTAATTATATCGGCAGCTCCCCTATAGATTACGGCGAACGTAAAAATATTACGCCTCGCTTAACCGACTAATTACGCCGATCGCGTAGCTAAACTATAGAAGCTCTAAGGCAGTTCGGTATACTCCGATAGTAAAGTAATCGAGCGTTAGTATAGATAGATAAGATGCTCCGAAGTATATCGTTAGTAACGATATAGCTAGAGAGTTAGAGTAGTAATATACGATCGAGTTCTCTCCGAGAACGGAAAAGAAAGCGGATAGATAAAGAGTTAGATTAGTAGAGAAGATATCTCCGTAGCTATAGGTAGGGAACGGCACTAGTTCGAACGGCTAGTTCTAGGTATAGGAGTATAGTTAGCGTTCGGGAGTAATATTTATAGAGCTTAAATCTAAAGATCTGTTCCTTTATCGAGACTATTAAGCTTATAGTACCTCTTACGATCGCATAATACGAAGATTATAAAGTCCTAGTACTAGATACTCCTCCGTATAATAAGGCAGTGCCTATTAGGCACTTTATAATTACGACAGTTTATCGCGCTAATATAAAGGCTAGCCTAAAAGCTACTTAAGCCCTATAGGAATATATAGCGGAAATTAGCTAATCGTATAGGCACGCGCTAGCACTCGTATAGCTATATCGCCTTCCTCGGAGTTAATTCTACTATATATATCTAACCCTTTACTACTCGTATAAAGAGTAAGTCGAGTATACGGGTAATAGTATAAATTATATACGCTCGACGAATATAAGGACGATAAGACTACTACTCGTATACTTGTCGTATTAAGCCTTAGCGTATAGCTAGGTAGAGCGGATAAATATAGCGGCAGGATACTAGCTATAGCTTGCGTCTATTAGCTATACTCGCGGTAATAGTATACTCCTAGGGCCGTATAAAGAATACTATAATAACGAGAACAGTTCTCCGAATAGCTTCCGACTTTAACGATAATACTATAATATATCTCTTGCCTTCTAATAGTAAAACTATAGTGTCTCCGATAGACTATCTCTATTCTGCTAGATAACGGGAGCTATTTTAAACTATAGATAGCCCTCGGCTCCGCGTAGGCCGTAGAGAGACCGTAGTGCTCTAGTAGAACGAAAATAGGCATATTACGAAACCTTAGAACAATCTATAGAGCAAGAACGGATCGGAGGAGGTATTCGTCTATAGAACAAACTAGAGTTCTCCCTCGGATATACTCCTAGCTATATACTATATCTAGACGGTAGATAGCTAAGGCAGCGACGGGCGTAGGAATTTGCTTTATTATATACCTTTCGATAATAGAGAGTACTATTAGTATAGTAATAACGTTATAAGCTATAGTGCGATTGCTTCTATACGTATAAAGGACTATCCCGGACCTAGAAGCACCGATCCTATATAAGGACTTAATCTCTAGTATAAAGCTAATATCGTGCTGCCTGTCTTGCTAGTTAATACGATATATACTCTATATTAGATCTAGGACTAGCCGTTTACCTCCTAGGATGCGCCTATATAGCTATATACTACGTATATAGATATCGATATCGTCGTAGAAGACGCCTAGCTTC